CAAGCCACACCCACACGAGAACATCCCTGAACATTGTCTCTGGGTCCCCATCTGCCATGCATCCCTTGCCCAGTTGGCAGGTGGTCCCAGGGCATGAGTACTCCTTGCCCTTAGTGGTCCTTTTCAGTCTCAGGGTGGTGGGGATGCAAGTCCTGTCAGCTTCAGGTCATCCCCTCCTGCGTTGGGATGGGGAGGGGTTGTCTTTCCCCTTCCACCTGACCTCAGACCCCCTTGGACAATCGCCCCTTCTTGGCAGGAAGGGCAGGTCTTCCCTGTTGCCTGTCCTCCCCATTCTCCAGCTTCCCCCAGACACCTCCCCTCGCTCCAGTACATCCTAAGCCTGAATTTCTGTAGGCCTGAGGATGCAGTGATGTGAAAAGGGGGGCCCCAGACTAGAGAATGCAACGATCACCCCAATTCCTAAGAGAGAACCACGGCACACCAGCTCCACACAGCACTGTCATAGCCCCTCGGGCAGGCGGGCGGGCAGACAAGCTGGCTGTGGGAACCCCAGCCAGGCGGGCGGAGATGTCGGGATAATTTAGCAGGTGGCCTCGTTACTCCCAGATCTGTCACCATGGTAACCTGGTTTTTTCTTTAAAAAATGTACAGTGCCAAGAGGAGGAAGATGGCTGACAAAATCCTCCCTCAAAGGGTGAGTGCCTTTCACAGCAGCCCCCAGCAGCCCCCACCCTCTGTTGCGCAGCCCTTCCCCCCAGAAGCAGAGCTTCACAGGCAAACCAGTTTCACTTTTTGTTTAAAAAGCTTCGTAAGAAGTGAGGTTCCTGGGACCAGAGGGCGGGGTGGGGCAGAGAGAGGAAAGCAGGCCTCTAAGGTCCAGGGGGTTGAACGCCAGCAGTCGGCAGACAAAAAGGCATGGGACAAAGAGGAGGAGAGGCTGCCAAGTGGTGTAAGGGAACAGAAGGTGGCCACATGTCCTGATGGGCATTGTAAAGCCACCCGGGCCAAGCTGGGTGTATACACAGTGACATGGTTCAGACACCAGGAATGGGGATGGTGAGGTGCAGAATGCAGGCAAGCAATGATATCCACCTTTTGTGTTGGGGACTCCAGAACCCCTCAGCTCTTTGCAGGAACCCAAGGGTGGCCAGATGACAAGATAAAGGATGGGCACTAGCACTTGCTGGGCTGCAGAGATGCGCACCCTGGCAGTGAGCTGCAGGGATCCCCCTACAGAGGGAAGCAGTTTTTATCTGAACAGATAGAGGTCCTGCTGTTAAGGCTGCAGCATGGGGACATGGGGACAGGTCCCATCTGCACTCTCAAAACTGGTCTGAAATCAGAACCCTCCCTCCCACACATCTTGAGCCCCGGGACTGCACAGCGGACTTCTGTTCCACATCACCAGATTGGCTGAGCCGCTGCTCCTGTCTTATTCCTCCTCCAGATTCGGGAGCTGGTCCCTGAGTCCCAGGCTTACATGGACCTCCTAGCGTTTGAAAGGAAACTGGATCAAACCATCATGCGGAAGCGGGTGGACATCCAGGAGACCCTGAAGAGGCCCATGAAGGTGCCTTACTGTGTGCAGGATGAGGCCACTAACCCTATGCCCAGGATGGGGAAGCAGGGCATCCCCCTGGGGTGGACACACACACAGCCTTTGCCCTCTACTACGCTCTTTATTTCTACAGCAAAAGCGGAAGCTGCGTCTTTATATCTCCAATACTTTTAACCCTGCGAAGCCCGACGCAGAGGACTCTGATGGCAGCATTGCCTCCTGGGAGCTTCGGGTGGAGGGGAAGCTCCTGGATGATGTACGTCCTGGCCCAGGTCTCTCCAGGTGTCCTGGGGTGGGTATGGGTAGCAGGAGGGGTCAGGGATTCACCCTAGCCCGGTGGGTGGTTCTGGGGTGAGTCTGAGTGCAGAAGGCTGCCCCAAAGTGTGCCACCTGCCTGCTGCCAGCTGCCAGCTGAGCCCAGCCTGCACCCTGGGCCCTGTTCCTCCCTCACAGCCCAGCAAGCAGAAGCGGAAGTTCTCTTCCTTCTTCAAGAGTTTGGTCATAGAGCTGGACAAAGACCTGTACGGCCCCGACAACCACCTTGTTGAGGTAAGACAGATCCTTTCTGCCTTTGAACCCACACTCCTGTAGGCCCAAGCCCCAAAGAACCTGTACAAATTTGGACTGGGGTCCCCACTGAAGCCCTTGGCCCCACTGAGACAGATGGGCCTGCAGGTGACCCAGCCCTTCCCCCTGGACAGTGGCACCGGACACCCACAACCCAGGAGACGGACGGGTTCCAGGTGAAGAGGCCGGGGGACCTGAGTGTGCGCTGCACGCTGCTCCTCATGCTGGACTACCAGGTCTATGTCTGACCCCATGTCCCAGAGGCCATGCCACATGCATCCCTGCCTGTCCTCCTCCCTGCCCCTCCTCTGAATCCTGTTACCAAGGAGCCTGACCGCCACAGCCCCCAGCCCCAAGCTGCCTGACCCTGAGCTTTCCCTGTGTCCCCCCTCTGATCTAATTTTCTCATCCCCCATTCCCAGCCTCCCCAGTTCAAACTGGACCCCCGCCTAGCCCGGCTGCTGGGCTTGCACACACAGAGCCGCTCAGCTATTGTGCAGGCTCTGTGGCAATATGTGAAGACTAACAGGCTGCAGGACTCCCACGACAAAGAGTACATCAACGGGGACAAGTATTTCCAGCAGGTAACCCTTCCTGAACCCAGGAACCCAGGCAGCATCTCTTCACAGGTAACCGCATCTGCCTGCTGCAGCCTGTAAGATCAGAAATGGCCACTGACCCGGCCTTGGGCCAGGAGGGCTAGAGTTCTAGGCCAGGCCTTCCACAGGTTAGCCTCCTGCTGCGTCCTTCCATTTAGGCTTCCCAAGTTAGGTCAGCCGATGACACTTGGAATGTCATGCTCTGGGCACTTGGAGTTAGGGTCCCTGGACCAAGACCCAGTTCTAGCCTTCAGGCTAAGTGAACTTTGCTATTCCATGCCTCCTTGCTCCTTATCTTTGAAGTGGGGTGATGAGACCTGTCTTCTGGGCAGTTAGGAAAATGAAATTGCTGAGAAAGTCCTAGGGCAACAGTCTTCCAAAGCAGAAAGTGTTTTACAACAAGCACAGCAGATACACCCAAGCAGAAATAGCAGGTGATGTTTATTGGGCACTTACCACGTTGCCAAGCAGTATTGTAAGCACTCTGTAAAAGCGGATCAATTCAGAGAATTCTCGTGAGACCCTGGGAAACAGGGACTATTAACCACCCATCCCAGAGAAGGAGGCACTGAGGTCACTAGCTGACTTGCTCCAAGTGGCCAGGTGTGATGGAAGCAGGGCTCTTACCCCCGTGGGCCGCTCAAGGCCCACCCCAGCCTTGTCTGCCACACTGATGACTCTACTGCCATGAGCACCAAGGTACCCCACTTGCTGTCAGCTTCTGGTGGCCTTTCCAGAATGGAAGGATCTGGAACTGGAGCCACAATCTTTTTATACACAGATAAGTGAGGTTTTCCCCAACTGTCCTGCTTCAGATTTTTGACTGTCCCCGGCTGAAGTTCTCTGAGATTCCCCAGCGCCTCACGGCTCTGCTGTTGCCCCCTGACCCAATCGTCATCAACCATGTCATCAGGTGAGGTGGCCCCGCTTGCTCCTGCCTTCCTGGTCCTCCTTCCTCTCTCCTGCTTACCTCCCTGTGCGCCAGCCCTGGGGCCCTGCACCTCTGTGGGGACACCATGGCCACCAAGGGGTGGATTTCCCTGGCAGCGTGGACCCATCGGACCAGAAGAAGACAGCGTGCTACGACATTGACGTGGAGGTGGAGGAGCCACTGAAGGGCCAGATGAGCAGCTTTCTCCTCTCCACAGCCAACCAGCAGGAGATCAGTGCTCTGGACAGTAAGGTGGGCCCGCACCCAGAGCCAGAGCAGGGCTGTAACTCAAAGATGGCCCGCTTAGGACAGAACAGTGCACAGGCCAGGAGAAGAGGGACACGTGCCTTCACTGGCCGCCACATCCAAGTTTAGCTCTGCCCACCCTTTCTGGGCTGGGAGTTCGTGGAATCGTGACTTGGGAAGCGCCTTCCATGGAAGCTCTCCCCGCCATCCCCACCCTGCCACCTCCCCATTCATGCATGGCTGTGACCCGGTGGAAATCACCTCTCTACCTGCAGATTCATGAGACGATTGAGTCCATAAACCAGCTCAAGATCCAGAGGGACTTCATGCTAAGCTTCTCCAGAGACCCCAAAGGCTACGTCCAAGATCTGCTCCGCTCCCAGAGCCGGGACCTCAAGGTGAGGGGAAGCTGGGGGAGTGCTGGAGTGAAGACAAGCACACAGGGGAGACCATAAACATGGCACGGTGCCCGGCACTGACCCCGCTCCCCTGATCAGGTGATGACGGATGTAGCTGGGAACCCCGAGGAGGAGCGCCGGGCCGAGTTCTACCACCAGCCCTGGTCCCAGGAGGCTGTGAGCCGCTACTTCTACTGCAAGGTCAGGAGCACCGTTGCCCTTGAACTTGTCTTTCCCCTGCACCTCTCTCTTCACTTGCTAGTGTCCCTTGCTGCTCCCCACGGTGACACATCTACCACACCCCTCTCGCTATGCCATGGCCTCACAGCTCTGATTGGGCCAGGGCAGGGACCCGGGCCAGAGGGCTGTGCTGCCCCCTCATGCCATAACCCTGACCCTGCCTACTTCCTCTACAGATCCAGCAGCGCAGGCAGGAGCTGGAGCAGTCGCTGGTTGTACGCAATACCTAGGAGCCTGTGGCTGAGCGCCACCATGGACCAGGGATGCCATGGACCAGAGACGGTCTGGGGGGCCTGGGGAACCAGCCAGCTGTGCCCTGGGCTTGGGTCTGGCTTCTCTGTTGCCTTGGGGGCGGGAAGACTGGATTAAAGGTTGTTCATCCAAGGCAGCAGTGTGGTCATTGGAAACCCGGGACCCAGTGGGCCAGGAAGGGGAAAGGTAGTCGGTCCCTCTGGACAAACTCCCACGCCCCTTCCCCATTTTTCCTAGACCTAAAAGCATTTTGGCAGAAGACATTTTTAATAGCATTTTCTCATTTAAAAAAATACAGCAATAAGCCCTCTCTGTCCATCACCTTGCCTTGCCCTTCCTGGGGCAGAGGCGTACAAGGGACCTGTGGGGAGAGTGCCAGATGCCCCGAATGGGGTGCTAGGTGCTGTTGGCCTGCTCCTGCTCAAACAGGGCCATGGCCAGCTGGGCACGGCCCCCCAGCCCTTCCAGGTTGCTGAGGCGGCAGCGGTGGTAGAGTTCCTCGCTGAGCCGGGGGCTGCAGTCCCGCAGGGAGAACTTCTGCACCAACCCTGGCTCTACGGCCCGAAAGAGGTGGAGCCCTGAGAACCGGAGGAAAACATCCATCACCTCCAGCCCCTCCAGGGCTTCCTCCTCTTCCTGGCCTGCCAGTTCACCAGCCAGCCGGGCACGGGCTGCCAGGTAGTCAGCATTGTAGAAGCAGCCCTCTGCCGAGGCCTGCCGGTCAAACCTGCCGCCAGCAGGGGCCCCCCGGGATGAGTCTGAGCCGGAAGGGGATGGGGGGTCAGGGCCAGCCCCTGGAGGGCCTGGCGGAGACCTCTGCGATGACAGGGCAGGGTTGAACTCTTGGAAATGGACTGGGAAGAAAGCCTGCCAGCCAGAGATAGCGTTCATGCGGCAACGGTTGAGGACTTCAGGCCCAGGCCTGGTCCACACAGTAGTGAGGAAGAAGAGGGTGTCCACGGGGTGCTTCTTGGATACCACATCCATGAGGCGCACCTGGGAAGGGGCCTCTGCTCTCACGGCGAGCCAGGCCAGCCTCGCCCCAGGATACCGCCGCTCCAACTCTGCTACTGCAGCCTTCACCCCAAGAAATGGGTCTGGGGCCCCACGGCCACCTTCCCGGGGCCCATAGACTAGCAGCAGGGTGAGCAGCGCGTGCTCTCGCGGCTCCAGCACACTGGCTGCAAAGGCCTCCAGGAATGCTGGGGCTGCTGAAGCTTCAGCCACCAGGAGTGGCAGTACCAGCTGCACTCGGGTGGCTTCGGTGACATAAGGCATCGGCAGGATTTCCACGCGGCTCAGCGGCCGCAGGAGACTGACCCTGCGAGCCAGGGCCCGCCGGTGGCCCCGCTGAGTGACGGCTTCCAGCAGCAGGTCCAAGGTATACTCCATGCCCCGTGCTGGGTCGAAGCGCCTGTAACCGTTGAGCAGCCGCTGCTTCTGGAAGCGCAACCGGGGCTGATAGCGCCGATTGAGCTGCTCCAGAGCAGTGTCCACCGCGTCACCCACATCTGCCCTGTTGGCCCCCTGCAGAGGGCATTTGGGTGCTCCGTCTGCACAGGAAAAGGTATGCTGCTCTGTGAAGTAGTCCCAGCTCAGCACCTCGAATCGGGAGTGCGGTGTGAAAGGCGGGGGGAGTCCAATGGGCCAGCTCAGCCCTGCCTCTCCCTCAGGGGTCAGTACTGTCAGGTTCCGGATCTGGGCCTGGGTTGGAGGGAACACACCTCAAGTGAATGCCAGTGTTAGGGTCCCAGCTGGCTCCCGTTTCCTGACATCGGAGGCTGGCAGTGAGCTCTGACTAATCACCTGTCCCCTGCTATCCATGGCAGAGGGGGCAAAAACGACCCCCACTTGAGATACCTGCTGTGAGGAAGAACATGCACCTTACATAGGAAAAGTTACCTTGAAGTACGACCACCCTTCTCTCTCCTGCCCAGGGCACACAGATCCTCCTTATGGCTGGACTGTTTCTGATCTGTCCCGTACCACGAAGGACTCTCGCACTTCTCTCCTTTCTACCAAGCTTGGGCTTTCCTAGGGGTTCCCAAAGTTTGGGGCTTCTGAGTTTCTGCTTCCTTGGATAGAGAGGCATGGCCAGCCCCCTTCCCCTCTGCTATGCCACAACCTTCAGCCCAGCCTGGCCCCACTCACTCAGCTGTCTGCTTCTTTGAAGCCTGGACACCTTGAGCATTCCCCTTCCCTCCCCCGTGGTTCCCCACTCACCTGCAGCTGTTCTATTTCACTGTAAGCCCGCTCCAACTCCAGGGCACTGAAGCGTTTGTGCAGCCGGTACATTAGAGTGGCCTCAGAGACTGGGTGCACGGCGAAGGCGCTCAGGAAGGCTGAGCTCCCCTCCTTCTCAGGGTCCCTGTTCTTGGCCAGTTCGAAGGAACGATAGTGCTGCCCCTGCAGGGATCGATCACACCCATCAGTGCCACACACAAAGGCTGCCTGTCCCAGCATGCCCTGGACCACCCTCACCGGTCACAACTGTCATGGCTTCATAATGGATGGACAGAATGGCTCTTTCTGGTGGCCCTCTTTTCCCAGGTTAATTTCAGGGCCTCATTTTGGGAATAGTAAATCAGGTAGGCACTGGGGACACCCTCCCCCCATACTGAATCCTACTGTTCCTCAGGGGCATGAAAGTCAGGAGCCATAAAACCTCCCGGGCTTTTCACCCTTCTGCAGTGCAGTGCGGCTCTGAGGGCTGGAAAGTGACCACCTTTCTTTCTGGTGGAGGATGTGCCCAACTTGTCCCTCATTGTGATGTGCGAGGGGAGATGTTGGGGAAGGGAAGCAGATGGTGAATCAGGGCCCCTCTGTCCTGTCCTGGACAAGACTGCTTGTGAGGGGCTCAGGGCTGTGAGAGTGCTGAAGGGACAGGCTAGCAGTTGGGAGGCAAAAATGATGCCCTCCATCGAGCAGCCTGAAGTGCACTCACTCAGTCACTGTCAACTTGGTGGGGACTGGGACTGACTTGAAAGAGCTGTCACCTGGTGCTGGGAGACACAGCCAATGCCCAGAGAGTCGATGAGGCAGCGGCCAAGCCACTCATCAGGACGAGCACTGAGAATGTCCCCACGGCAGCCATCCAGATGTGGCCGCAGGTGAAGCAGGAGACTCCGTGACAACAAGTAGCCAAAGCCCCCATGGCAATACCGGGCCTGCTCGCCTGCCCCGATGAACTCCTCTGCCCGGCCCAGGTACAGGTCCTGGTTGATGCTGAGGTGGCCAGCGAGGGCCGCCAGGCGCGGGGCCTGCACGTATGTATCATCCTGCATAATGAAGAACCAGTCGTAGTCGGCCCCAAAGTGTGTGTGAAGGTGGCGCAGGGTCTCTGACATGAGCCACGCGGGCCGTTCATCCCCATGGGATACGACTTGCATCCCCGCGGGAGTTCGGGCTCCTCGCTGCCCAGTGAAGTAGAGTAACCGAGGGAAGTGGTGGGCCACTGTGCGGTTAACAGCTACAGCTAATGTGGACAGTGTGGCTCGGGAAGTCAGGACAGCCACCAGCAACCGCTCCCGAGAGCCCAGCTCCGTCTGGATATACCGGGTCCTGTGAAGAGACCAATAGGCCAGCGTCAACTCTCTGGTCATGGGCAGAGTGTGTGCCAGCACACGAAGCCCTTAGGAGTAAGTGAGATGGAGCTGTGGGAAGGGGAGAGACCTCTTTCTTTCCTTGTCAATATGGATCAGCTGCTAAGCACCCACTGAGTAACTGAACACTAATTTTGTATCAATGGGGAAACTGTCTTAGACCTGAGAAGGAGAAAAGCTGGAACAAATCAAGATGGGGATTAAGACAAAGAATTGCACCAGTCGTGGCGGTGTACCCCTATAATCTCAGCACTTCGGAGCCTGAAGCAGGAGGATCACAATATGAGGCCAGTCTGGGCTACACAGTGAGTTTAAAGCCAGCCTGGAATATATAGCAAGATCTGTCTCAACAAATCAACAAAGGACAAGCAGAAGGGGTCCTAGGTTGGTGAACTATGCACACAAGTGCCCTCACCTGAGCACCTTCTTGTAGGGCTTATTGGGATCCCTGTAGTAGGGGACAATCCGGGGTCTGAAGTCTTCGTCATTTTGATCCAGTCGGTGTCCTGAGTCTGGATCCTGTGGCCCTCTTGGCTGCCCCACAGCCTCTACACAGGGATCCTCTCCCTCACCCTGGATCCAAGAAACCCGCAGGAGGCTCAGGCTGCAACCAAGCGACAGCCCTAAGATGAAGGGTAGCACCGGCCGCAGCAGCGCCAACAGGGAACTCAGGCGCATGGTGGTGGCCCTGACCATGTGGGCACCCCAGTGAGCACAGCTTAGAGGGTCAGTGTGTGGGTGGGCGCCAGGCCAGCAGCAGGATTACAGTCTTAACCGGGGAACCCAGGGTCAATGAGGTCAACAACAGAACACGGTGTGCTGACTTCCAGGCCCAGGATCCCGGGGAAGATTGACTGTCCTGTCTTCACACTCCATCTGCTCTGTCTTCAGTCACCAAGGTGTTGGATCCACCCTTTGGCCCAACCAGTACCCACATGCAAACGGTTTCATTCACTCCTGAGATTATAGTGTGTCTTCCAGTAGGAAGGAGAAGAACAAAATTCAGTACTGCCAACTCTACCCCAAAAAGGAGCACGCGCATGTGTTGCCTGGACCTAAGTCAAGAGAAGGCAGCAGCTAATAATGACGGCTTTGGGAAAAAGCACACGGTCCATCAAAGCAACTGTCCGACCAGAGGCGCCCGCTGCAGTTTCCCCCTCCTGAAGGCCACCCAGCCACATCCCCACTCCAGCTACTGAAAAGGATGCTGACAAATAACCGCAGACCAGCAAAAGGCGAGGAAGCCGCAGCCTCCCTCCACTCTGCTCCCAAGCGTCAAGGACACACAAGGGCTACAGCAAGCCCCCTTCCCTCTCAGGCGCGGTCAACAGCCATACACGACGCACATCAGCCATCCCACGCCAAGGAGGTGGGCACGCCGGTGACTCAGCACCGCCGGTCTCTCAGAGGAGCGCCGTGCCTGCCAGCCATTCTGCAGGGTATTCGCCTCAGTGTTCCAGCTGCCGCCGGGCTCCGCTACCCACCCTCCAGGAGGCACTCTTGCTGCGCGCCCTGGCTTCCCCTGGGCCCCGGGGACCACGCCAAACAAACGGAAAGCAAACCGTGCGCGTGGCGAGCAGCAGCTGGAGGCAATGTAGGGGTTGTGCGAAGGCCAGCAGGAGTCCGGTGGCCTTCTGACAGGTCCTCAGCCCGGGCCGTGATTCGGCGGCCGCAGCCAGGCCAGCCCTAGAGGACGAGCCCCAAGCGAGTCTCCAAGCAGCGGAGGGGCGGGCTGCAGCCACTGCGATCGATCAGAGGGGCAGGCGAGCGGAAGGCGGAGACGAAGCGAGGTTGCAGCCGGGAGAGGGGCCGCAGCCCGCCAGGCCGTGAGGAACCCCGATCCTCCGGGAGGGGACCCGGAAGCCGGGTGGGGGCGGCGGAGGCCGGAGAGAGGGTGACAGGGCCTCCGGCGGGACCTGGCGACCCGAGAGTACAGGGACTCAGGCGGAGGGCAGAGACCCGGAGCGGGAAACAAACCCCAGGGCCGCTGGAGGCTCCGGCTCCGCCGCGGATGCAGCCGCCACCTCACGCTACGGCCCGCGGCTTCCTCTTCCGCTGCCTGTCAGTCACCCGTCTCTATGGTGACCGCATCCGGCCGCTCGCTCCGCCCGCGTCCTCTCTATGGTCGCTCGCGTTCCTCCGGGATAAAGAGCGAGGGTTCCACGGACACCAATCGCAGTGGACCCGAACTGCACCAGAGGTGCCCGGAGCTTCCCCTCAATAATATCTGGGGAGGAAAAAAAAATCCTGCGTGAACACGTTTCTCCCCATCGGTTTCGCAGCTCCGCCCAGTTGCTTAAGAACTGTGGGTTTGCCCACTAAAGTTCAGGGGTCTCAGTGAGTACTGTTCTGGATAAATCGGGGAGGACGAGATGGGCATGGCCCTGCCCCTCGGCAGCGGAGAGTGGAGGGCGACAGGTGGAGAATAAAACTTCGTCAGAAACCATAATCCGTGATACCGTAAGTACCACTGCAGAATCCAGTGGAAACTCAAAAGCAGGAAGAATTCAGTTAGGTCAAGAACGTGGAGATGATGCGATCCAAAGGTTTGAGTAAGAATTGCCCATGAACAGCTGAATTTTCTGGGTAGAGAGCACACGGAGACCCTGAGAGACAGAGGCAATGATCCACGAAGAAAACTGGAAAGACCAGGGCCCTAGAACTTGAGGAAGGGACGACGCCCAAAGTGAGACAGATTAGGGGAGAGGCAGGGTTTTCAAACGACCCCAGTGAGCTCCTAACCCGGATGGCACCTATCCTGGGGAGCGGTTTGGAAACATACAGAGGCTATTTATTTATCACACCGTGGGATGGACGGTTTGGATGCCCAGTGTCTTACACACAGGAAGCCATCCTGATCCCAGGCAGCCTGCGGATGCTCTACTGGACATTCATATAGGTGAAAAAGGGTTACAGCTAGGTCTTATACATTAAAAAGGAGCTACTTTTGCAGGGTTGTGATATATGAATTTTTAAGGAATGTAATTATCACATACATGGAAGGGTGATTGTACTTAGTCACGTTCAGGAATTTTCTAAGTGCTAATCACCTTTTTGGAGAACTTCATCTCTGACCACAGTGTCACAGAGTTGAGAATACATTGGTATTGTCACATCCAAGGTGATCTTGCATGGAGGTTTGAACATCTAATTACATCTTTGGCAATGCTGAAGTCACCTGATTACTTTATTAAAAAGGATTTCATTTTATTATTTGTTATGGTTTAAGACACTGTAAGTTTTTGAAATTATATGTATAGTTCAAAAACTTACAGTGTCTTAAATTATATGTATAGTTAGGGAACATCATCTATGAATTTCCCTTCAAATTAGTAAATTATTATAAAGATATTAAAATGAACAGCAGGGCTAATAAAGAATGATCATTCTAGCTAGGTGTTGTGGTATATTCCTGAAATCCCAGCACTTGGGAGGCTGAGGCAGCCTGGGCTACATAGTTTCAAAGCCAGCAGAACTATTAAAAAAAAAACAAAACACTGTAATGGTTGATACATTGTGTCAACTTTAGAAGTTTAAAAGTAACTAAGTGACTCAGCAGGGAGCCAGGATCCTCACTTCTTAAGCATCCTCATCCCCTGCAAGAGGAGGGCATGAAGATTTTGTGATTGCTACACCTTCCCTGGAGAGGAGCCTGTGCACAATATAAGGGAGGAAAAGAGGCTTGCTCTCCTGTCTTTTGTACTTGTTTTGCTGTCTTCTGCCATCTGGAAGTGTTGCCCCTACTCCATGCCCTTCTGCCTTGGAACCAGCTGATTACTGAAACCTCCATAAACTGTGAGCTAAATAAAGTTTCCTTTCTTGTTTCCTTGTTACTGTGTTTTGGTCTTTATTTTCTAGGGAAATTTTCAGATGATCCTGATAAGTACATTGAGGTTTTCTTTTTTTTTGTTTGTTTGGTCTTTTTCATTTTTACCGGTACCAGGGATCAAACTCACAACTGCCTGCTTGCAAGGCAGGCACTTATGCCGCTGAGCTAAATCCCCAGCCCTGGTCTTTATTTTCTGTTAGCTGAGTACTAATATTTGCAATTGAATCTTTGCTTTGCAACTAAAATATATTAGCTGGTAAATGAGTGATTTCTTAGAAAAGACTTTGGGAAACTGACTAGAGAAAGGTAATTTCTAGATCGGTGTTGTCCTATAGAAATATAATGCAAGCCACAAATATAAATCATATAATTTAAAATTTTCTAGGGGCCAGGGTTTAACTCAGCAGTGTAAGTGCCCGCATGGCAAGCACAAGTCATGAGTTCAATCCCTGGTACCAAAAATAAATAAATAAATAAAATTGTTTTGGTGCTGGGGACCGAACTTATGACCTCATGTTTGCCAAGCAGGCACTTATACTGCTGAGCTAAATCTCCAGCCCTAATAAAAATTTTTAGTAGCCATATTTTTTAAAAAGTGAAAGAAATAGATAGGATTAACTTTAATCTTATTAATATCTCCAAAATATTATTTTGGGCATACAATCAATATGAAAAATTATTGATGTGATGTTTTACATTTTTCTCATGTGCAACCTTTGAAATCCAATACATTTTACAGTTAGAGCTTATTTCAGTTTGGACTATCTGTCTTTCAAGTGTTCCGTGGCCACACACCCCTAGAGGCTACTGTACTGAGCAGTATGGTTCCAGACCTTCATAGTTACTAAGTTCCTAGGTAACTCTGGAGGAGACATTGCCTTCTTTGGGTCTAAGTTTCCTCATATTTTAAACAAAATCCTTTCTCCTGTCCCTCTGCTTCCCTCTCTTCTATTTCTCATTTTCCATTCCTTCTCCCCTCAACCCCAGTTCTTTTTCCTACGAGAAGAAAGCCCTAGGTGGGAATGACAGAACTCCTAAGTGACCAAGAAGTTTTGTAACCCACTTTCAGGGCTGAGGGAGATTCTCCCTGGGAACAGATTCATTCATAGGAAATTATGTATGTGGTTGGCTGTTATGGAGGTATCTTCAGAGGAGTGATGTGTTAGTATATTTACAAAGCTGGACTTCTGGAATCCAAAAATTCTAGCTTTAAATACTGGTTCTGTTTCCCACCAATAGTACTGCTTTATTAATACCTCTGCACCTTAGTTTCCTAACATATTGAAGACAGTACTTCCAGAGGCTCAGGTGCCCCAGTGAGTGATTTTTACATGGCCTACCATCATATACAAGTCACTTTCTTCATTAAGGAAAGGCTTTAAAGTCATTCAACTATAGTTAATGTTATTTTATATCTAAAATAATGTTTTTGAGCTAAGCGTAGTGGCACATACCTGTAATGCTAGCACTTGGGGGCTGAGGCAGGAACCTCACTGTGAGTTCAAGGCCAGCCTGAACTGCATAATGAAGCCCTGTCTCAAAGAGACAAAACAAAGCAAAAAACAAAATGTTGTCACCCATGATAGATGCTTAATGTTCCTTAAATATATTACACTAAACAAACATCTAGTGCATCCTTAGAGAAGGATTTTACAAGTAGCAGGAAAGGCAAGAAGAAAGGCTAGCAGAAATCAACTGACTGATCAGATAATAACAATTAAGCATTTTGATCTTTTTAACAGATATGAGGTAAGTGCTATACTATAGAAACAGTTAATTCTGTGCAAACTGAGCTGTAGTCTCACCAAGTCAAAGAACAAAAATCATAGACAAAGAAGTCAGGCAAGTATTTTTTGGAAATAATAAGAAGAGAAATAGGTCCTGCCATAAAGTGGGGATTCCAAATAGAACTCCAAATTATCATTTGTCCTGTTCTTATACAGAAAGATGAGCTCTTTGCGTGTCTGATGGTCCCTCAAGTCCAGACCTGAAGTAAGGAGGAACTGTCACCTAACAGCATACTCTGCATAAGAATCTTCTTTCTTGGGCTGGGGATTTAGCTCAGTGGCATAAGCGCTTGCCTTGTAAGCATGTGGCCATGAGTTTAAGTGCTTGCCTTGTAAGCGTGTGGCCATGAGTTCGAGCCCCGGTACCGATTTTAAAAAAAGTAAATAAATCATTTAGGGGCTGGGGATTTAGCTCAGCGGTATAAGCAGGTATAAGCACCTGCCTTGCAAAGCAGGCAGTCATAAGTTGGATCCCCAGTACCGATTTAAAAAAAAAAAATCTTCTTTCTTTCTTTCTGGGAGAAAAGGTCTTATCTCTCCACTTTTTTTTTTAAAACCGGGGATCAAACTCACAACCTTGCACTTACAAGCAAGTGCCTGAACCACCTTGCTAAATCCTCAGTCCTTATCTCTCCATTCTTATCCTATCTTTTATCCTTTTTCCTGTGCTGACTGCTTATTTATAAGCCAGTTAACTAAACGATTACAGTCTTTTAAAAAAAATGTCATTTTCATTTTACAGAGAAAAGTATATACTTTACCCAAAGTCGAACACTATGAATGGGCTATGAATGGCAGACCTGAGTTTGAGTGTAGCTAGCATGCCCAGAGCTAATGCTGTTAATGGTGATCCCACCTCAGTACCCCACAACACACAGAGCTCTTTTGTCACAGTCTACTTTTCAAAGTTCCTTCTCCCTCTTAAGCCCCTAGATCAGGGAGTGATTAGTCATACTGCAACTCTATCCAGTTGCAAAATCATTCTAGGAAAATGAACATTCAAAGATAGGAAAGTGTGACTCCAAACGGTAAGTAAAGGAGGAAAACTATCCCATTATTACTGCAGGAGTGAGTTTGTTAATTTGTTACAAGACCTGGGCAAAAGGTGTTACTTTTAGATAATATGTTTAGAGAGGAAATAACAGCTTCTCTTGCTTCCCTCAGTGAAGCGCTGGTGGACAGGAACCTGGCAAGGATAGTAACTACTCTGCCTTGTATCTGAGGCTACAATGTTAAGGTTGTGTAAAATGTTAAGTCTGTTAAGAGATTTTAAGCATCGAGACTCAAAGTATCAGGCAAGATCACGGCTAAGTGTCGGTAAAGCAAAACTCATCGAAGGAGTCTTTGTACTTTAGGCTCTTCCCACCAAATCTACAGAGCTCTGATGAGCACGTAACAATTCTGGAGCTGGTGAGCTGAGGGGCCCAGGTTCAGCAACGACGTTTGGCACTTTCTAAGTTTGGGTAGCCATGGGCCAGACTAAAATTTAGGTTTCAAGAAGCGAAGACGCCGTTCTTCCATGGAAGAACCTTATTAGCATCATCTAAAGAGCGTGCGTAGCTTTCCCGGGCCTCTCAGCCCAGCGATTTGCTCTTCCACTTTCTACTTCCACCTCTACCTCTTCCATTGTTCCGACCCATTCTCCGATGAAGCATGCTGGGAAGTGTAGTTGACAGCTCTCCTGGCAGGACAGGTTGAGTAGTCCTATACACTCGTTACGTATTTCAATACTGCTCAACAGATCTTCAAGAGGTGGAGTAAATCCTACAAAGCACAGCCCCTTCACCCGAGGAGCAATCTGGGATTTGCAGTTTCTAGGGCCTGAAGCAGACCCGCTGGCAGAGGACTCTTGGACTCTGATGTCTAGTTTCCCCCCAACTTAATTCTCGCGCTTTATGATGACATTAGAAGGACACGAGCGGGCCCTGGGATACGTGGTAGTTCTTGAGGAGAGTCCTGCCTTTTGTTAACACCACTTAAAGACTACAATTCCCAGAAGTCATCGCGGCGATGCGCACAGAATCGCCAAAGGTCGTGATTGGCTGGTGAGCCGGCCGCACGCGGTGGAGCTCAAGGAGTAGCTCTGTTGCGACAGAGGCGGAGCAGCGAGGCCGGGTGAGTTGGGGGCTAGGGGGGCCGGCGGCTGGGGCGGGAGCTGGGGATTGCTGGCCGGTGAGGGGGAGGTAGACGAGAAGAGGAAGGAGGGGCAGGATTGGGATGGAGAGTGCTGCTAGGGGAAAGAAAAGGCCAGGGAGGGAAACTGAGGCGCAGGATGAGGGGGAGGCTCAGGGTGGCGAGAGTGGGGACCTCGAGGGGGAGGTCGCATGCGTCCGGGGAGGAGCTGGGCTCGACTCCTAGAGGGTGTGCAGGGCCAGCGGAGAGGAGGCTTGGGACGACCAGGAGGAAACCCGGAAAGTGGGGCGGCGGCTGAAGTGCGGAGCGCCAAGTTGCAGAGAAACCGGAGAGGGGCTATCAGCCGAGGGGCAGAAAACCTGGTTCCCACCTGAGGGCCTGGTATCGGGAGCGTCTCAGCGTGCGGCAGCCCTGGGCATGGGTGGACGAGGCCTGGGAGAAGAGATCCTGCTATGAAGAGAGCGACTGAGACCCGCGGTTGGCGGGAGACATCCTGGCAAAGTTGGCAGAGCGGGCATCCGTGGCTGGATGGGAAAACAGGAGGGATGGAGCCTGGCTCCGCCCTCTAGAGCAGTAAATGCAGCAGAGTGGAGCATCTGTTTGCCTTCCTTCAGACTCCCTGGAAGAACACTGAGTGCCCCTGTGGGTCAGCACCATGCCCTCCGACCTGGCCAAGAAGAAGGCAGCCAAGAAGAAGGAAGCTGCCAAAGCCCGACAGCGGCCCAGAAAGGGACATGAAGAAAACGGAGATGCTGTCACAGAACCGCAGGTGGCGGAGGAGAAGAACCAGGAGGCCAATGGCAGAGAGACCACAGGTGAACTGAGGGGGCGGGGAGCACCTGGGTTGTTTGCTGAGTGTGGGAATCTGGTTGTGGGGCCGCGAGGATGTGCCCAGGGCCCCTGAGCTCTTTCATGAGGAACCCAACCCTTAGAGTTGGAACGTGTGCCTCCCTTTTCCTGATCAAGGAAACTGGCCTGAGTGGCAGGCAGACCTGGGCTTTGTTGAGCTGCTTTCTTGGGTTACTGCAGGGCAAGGCAGTTTCCTGGCGCTGTTTAATTTCATTCCTACACCTGGGGAGTGTGCCAGGTTCTTGCTATATTCTTGTCATAGGGTAATGATTATAGTAACAAACTGTTTTATGGCATTTCCTTGGGGAACAGCTGCATTTCTGTGACTTATATTTTGTGATTTTTTTTTTGTTTGTTTTTGAGGCAAAGTCTCTTGTTAAGTATTTCAGCCTGGTTTGAACTCACTGTGTAGCCCAGGTTGGCCTTGAGCTTGTTGTGATCCAGCTGCCTCAGTCTCCCCCATGCTGGGATTACAGGTGTGCCCCACAACCCCTGGTTTGGGAAATATTTATCGAACATTTCTTTCTTTCTTTTCTCTTTTTGAGGCCCTATGCAGTTCAGGCTGGCCTTGAGCTCACTTTGTAGTCCAAGTTGGTCTCTAATTTAGAAGGATATTCCTGCTGGGGCTGAGGATTTAGCTCAGTGGCTTAAGTGCCTGCCTGGCAAGTATGAGGCTGAGAGTTCAATCCTCGGTACCAAAAAAACCCAAAAGAAAACAAAGATCCTCCTGCCTCAGCTTCCTGAGTGCTGAGATTACAGGTGAGATTGTTTACAGGTTACAGTACTGAGATTACACCATACCCACCTTGAACATTTTTTAAGTGCTAGACACTAGGTACTATAAAGACAGTCTGCTCTGATAATTTATAATATGGATGAGGAAATGTGATAGTGTGGGCAGAAGATTCCATTTCAGTCTAATCTAGCCTCTTTTCTGCTCTTAAGAAGTCTCCACACAGTCCTCCATCTAGACCAGTGAAGCAGAGCTTTCAGTGGTACAAACAGCCCACTCGCTGTAGCATGTGTGCCTTAGGTCCCCCACCACTGATCTCGACTATTCACTGCCCCTTGAATTACATTTCTGTCCTTTCATACACACTGAGGGTTTTTTTTGTTTGTTTGTTTGTTTTTTTCCTTTTCATCGGTACCGGGGATCGAACTCACCACTGACTGCTTGCAAGGCAGGTGCTTATCCCCAGCCCCGGATACACACTGAGTTTTAATAGCACAGTGTATGTTTGACAGTTCTACTAAAGCACAGATGAAGATAGGAAAGCTTCTTCCAGGCAGACGGCCTTAGGAATATTCCAGTTCACCATACTCTGTTGTGTTAGTGTTACTTACCTTCTTTTGTCTTTTTTTTATTCATGTACATTGTTTTCTCTTTGAGTAGAGACCATGTTTTCAGTAATTCTCTGTCTCTCTGTCTCTGCCTCTCTGTCTCACTCTGTACTAGGGCTTGAACCGAGGCCCTTTACACTGAGTTACATTTCCAGCTTGTTTTAGACTTTTTATTTTGAGACAGTCTTGCTACATAGTAAAGTTACCCAGCTGTGCTCAGATGTTCCATTCTCCTGTCTCAGCCTCCTAATGTGCTATGTAGTTCCTTCCTAATGTGCTATGTAGTTCTTTTATTGTCGTCTGTACTACAAATAGATACTAAGTAAATGTTTGAAGAAAAAAAGGAAATTGGTAACAAATTAATAACACATGGGACCATGAAAAAAGAACAGTTTAAAAAAATGCTTACTACCAGAGAGTTGAGTGGTAGAAATTGTCTCCACAATAAGAATTCTAGGGGAGAGAGCATGCCTAGTCTGTACATGATCCAGGCTTCCATGTCCAAAACCAAGTAAAGTCAGGCCATGGGGACATTTTGTTGCTGGCCAGAGGGAAAAAGGATAGAGAGTTGTTAAGAATGCTGAGTGTGAACAAGGACACAGGAGTTAAGCCAGAGCTCAAGATGGGCTACACAGAGGGCGGTGTGTGAAGCCCATGACACCGCGCATCTGCCCAGGGTGAACTGACCTCAGCTCCTCGGAGACTAGGGTCTGGCCGTTCACATGAGAGCTGAGTCTTCTCTCTCTCTGCCCCCCTCCCCTCATGATGTTTTTGTCTGCAGAAGTAGATTTGCTGACCAAGGAGCTGGAGGACTTTGAGATGAAGAAAGCTGCTGCTCGAGCCGTTACTGGTGTCCTGGCCTCCCACCCCAACAGTACTGATGTCCACATTATCAACCTGTCGCTCACTTTCCACGGTCAGGAGCTGCTCAGTGACACCAAACTGGAATTGAACTCGGGCCGTCGTTACGGCCTCATTGGCTTAAATGGAATCGGTGAGGCTCTAGAAGGCAAGGGGGAAGTCCCTCTTTTTTGGCCATCTGTCCTTCAGTGAGTATTTAGCACTAGCTGTGTACAAAACCAGTTCACGTTACATGTAGGAGACCAGACATTCCCAGGGAAAGGGGACTAACCATGGTGTTGCCACATGAGTGTTTTAGACAGGCAGTGCTGGAGAGGTTGGTGGGAGCAGAGGCGCGGTGCTGTGGGAACCTGCTGTAAATGAAAACGTTTTCATAGCAGAGAACAAGAATTTTGAAAGCCAGGTATGATTGCACTCACCTGTAATCCCAGCGCTTGGCAGGCCGAGGAGAAGGCTGCCATGAGTTCGAAGCCAGCCTGGGCTGCAGAGTGAGTTCAAGACCAGCCTGCACCACAAAGTGAGACCCTGTCTTTAAAAAAATTAAAAAAAAAAAAAAAGCAAAAACAGAATTTGAGGAAAGTTGGACAGGGATTCCAAGGAAGGAGGGCAGAAGGATGTGGACCAGGAAAGGGAGTGAAGGTACAAAGAATGGCTTTGGCTGGGAAGAGCCGCAGAGAGGAGCGGTGGGGAAGTGCAGGTGTCTTCTGTCTCCCTCAGGGAAGTCCATGCTGCTCTCTGCTATTGGGAAGCGGGAAGTGCCCATCCCTGAGCACATCGACATCTACCACCTGACTCGAGAGATGCCCCCGAGCGACAAGACACCCTTGCAGTGTGTGATGGAAGTGGACACAGAGCGGGCCATGCTGGAGAAGGAGGCTGAGCGTCTGGCTCACGAGGATGGTAGGGCTGTAGGCCTGGAGGCGGGTGGGGGTAGGCTGCCTTCCGAGCCAGGTCCAGGAAGGCTGATGGCCTTGTGCTGCCCACAGCGGAGTGTGAGAAGCTCATGGAGCTCTACGAGCGCCTGGAGGAGCTGGATGCTGACAAGGCGGAGATGAGAGCCTCGAGGATCTTGCATGGCTTGGGATTCACTCCTGCCATGCAGCACAAGAAGCTGAAAGACTTCAGCGGGGGCTGGAGGATGAGGGTCGCCCTTGCCAGGTAAGTCCTTACCTCCTTCCTGACCCCTGCAGCTCTCCGCCTCTCTCAGTTGAGTGCTTACCCCTGTGGGACTGTTTGGAGCAGGGGTCAGCAGTCAGAAAGTGTCGTATGAGACACCGGCATGGATGGGCTGTCACTGTGGGCTGGAGGAGCTTCCTGGCTGTGGTGGTCCAGAGGGACCCAGTATTGGATTCCGGGTTAGGAATCTTGGGAGAGGCTCCTAGCTGTATTTGTCTGTTTCCCTCTGCTGTAATGAAATACCCAGGGTATGTGGCGGTGACTCATGGTTCTAGAGGCTCCTGCTGGCAGTCTTGAGGAGGTGCAGCACCCTATTGTCCCCTCCCCCCCACTTTTAAAGCCACCAGCATTCACTCTTGGGGCTGTACTACGGTGACCTTATCTAATCCTGGTCACTTCCCAAAGCTCCCTGTGTAAACTCCATTGCTGGATTACATTTCTACCTCTTGGTGCCCACCAGCACATGGCAGCTCCACCAGATCAATGTGACTGTGACACTCTTTGCAGTAGCAGTTTATTCCCTCTGTGTCCTGCCTTCCTCCTGGACACTAACCACAGTGCACAAGGCTCATAGACTCTTAACTTTGCAGCCTCATCTCCAGACCGCATTCTTTATGATTTTTTGAGACAGAGTCTCACTTGGTAGTTCAGGCTGGTCTCAAACTCGTTGTGTAGCCCTGAACTTGCAACAGTACTGGGCCTCCTGAGTGCTTGGCTGACAGCCCTGTGCCACTATGCCAGGCTAGACCACATTCCTGTGCGCCTCCAAACCCTGCTCTTGCCCCTCATCTCAGCTCTTCAGCTTTGCTTTCTGCCCAAGATTTCCCTTTTCTCTGATACCTAGAGCCCAGGTTGATTCCAGGACTCAGGCCCCCCAGGTCTGAGAGAAGTGCCAATGGTGGGCAAGCTAGTCCCCTCCGCGTAGTGTCCGGGATACTGAGGTCCTTTCCTCCTGTCCTCCAGGGCCCTCTTTATCAGGCCCTTCATGCTGCTCCTGGATGAGCCCACCAATCACCTGGACCTTGATGCTTGCGTGTGGTTGGAAGAGGAACTGAAGACGTAAGGATAGGGAGACGGAGGGGCTGCTGTGGGGGAGAGTGGGGTCCACAGAGCACCAAGACAGTGGTGCTGAGGGCTGCACGGGTGATAGAGGAGCCATAAGAAAGTGGGCAGCGGGCCGCTGAGTGCTGAGGTCTGCTGGTCTCTTCGTCTTCATTTAGTTCAAAGAAGATGAGCTTTTTTTTAAACAAAGCTTTTTGGGTTTCTCTCTATTTGAAATACAGCATCTTGACTAAAGCCTGTATTTCTTTTCTTGATTATGTGTACATTATGTAAAAGGGGCTTTTCCCCTGAGGTGATGATAGATGACAGGAGGCCAAATTGGGCATGATCTTTTCAGTTAAAGAACTGAGTAACCCAGAACATTGCCCCAGATTTAAAAGAAAGCTTTGTGTGATTTAGTGACTTGTTTTTTTTGTTTTTGTTTTTTGTCTTTTTGAAGACAGGGTCTTTATGCAGTTCAGGCTGCCTTGAGCTCACTTTGTAGCCCAGGCTGGTGTTGAACTCACAATGATCCTCCAGCCTCAGCCTTCCAAGTGCTGGGATTAGAGGCATGAGCCACCATGCCTGCCCTTGGTTTAGTGACTTGGTATCTCTTTTAAAAGAAAAACCTCATTTTTGTATTGCATTTAGTCCAGTTGCCCAGCACAGTTCTGGCCACACTTAGTGTGGACTTGTATACACGTACTCCTTGCCATGAGTGTTCCTGCCATCTCCGTCTCCTCCTCCTCCTCTGTTGACCTCTGGACCAGGAGACCAGGGAGTCGGCCGCCCCCTTGTTCTCCAAAGGGCACCGGGCTTCCTTACTGATAAGGGCGCGTGGTGGGAGTTGCATAGTGCATTTGTAGGGTGCTTTGATGAAGGCGGGGAAGGATGAAATGTTCTGGCCCGGCTCGGCTTGCCCATCCCAGCCAGCTCGGGTTTTGAGCACCTTCCTGACTGGTTCTTGGCTTTGCAGTTTCAAGCGCATCCTGGTCCTTGTGTCCCATTCCCAAGATTTCCTGAATGGAGTCTGCACCAATATCATCCACATGCACAACAAGAAACTGAAGTATTACACGGTGAGTGGGCTCTGCTTTCCCTACACCATGCCACACTCAGCCTGCTCCGGAGTTCTTTGTTTTTCTAATGAATGAAACTTTTATTTAAGAAATTTCATATGTGATTTCATTAATATCCATAAGATGACCTAACAAGATGTCCTCAAGATAGCCCTTTCTAAAGGAATTTGATGCTTACCCTAGTCATTCCAGACGCCCTGCAGAAGAATATAAAAGTGGTTATACAGTCGTTGGTGAGTTCTAGAGCCAGCCTGCAGAGATCTAGCCTTGTAGTGAGAGTAAGAATTTTAAATGTGGCTGTTGTAAATAGTATTGGACAGCGTTCACCTCGGCCATGTAATGGTCCCAACAGGTTGATTGCTAACGAGGTAGCAGACAGAAACCCTAGTGGGGAATTTTTTTATGGTCATGTCCACAGCAAATTAGAAGCTTCATTCTAAAAGCCTGGGTAGTGACCACAGAGTTCTCCTTTTAACCAGAGTATAGCAGCTCTTTTCTCCCCATTGCTATAAAAAGACGTGGCCCAGGAGTCCTGTTTTATTTTTGTCCCAAAGCCATTGCTTTCAGGCCATAACCTTGGGTTGGCGGCCACTGCATGTGGTGTGCATTTGCCTTATGGCAAAGAAGTTGCCTTCTCTGTTCCCCAGAGATGGGCCTGATCCTCTGCCTTCTCATGTGGCACCTGTTCGGTCTCTTGAGTTGTGCCACGGGCAGTGTCTCCCTGGGCATGGCAGACTTGAGTTCAGGGGCCCAGCAGCTTGCCTACTGTATCTTACCTTGTAATTTCACTATTTAATAAAATATATACAGTGTAAAAAGTCCTTTTCACTCACAGCCGTATTCACTGTTGGGAGTGTTGCGAAAATTCCTTGCATGCTTGCAAGCATTTGTAGGACATTTCATGTACACATACAGTCCTTCTTCATAACTGTAATATTAGTAGTCATTCTGCTCTGAGAGTTGATTTTCAGCACTGCTTTAAATGATTACACTCATCACGGGGAGTTGATACCTGTGCATAACACATCTTAATTCTTTCCCTCCCTCCCTTCTATAGTTTGCTTTTGTTTTATTTATTTTTTATTTTTTGGCACTGGGATCGAACTCAGAACCTTGAGCTTGCCAGGCAGGTGATTATGCCATTGAGCTAAATGCCCAGCTCTTTATTTTTGGATGTTTGAGATCAGGTCTCACTGTGTAGCTCAGGCTGGCTTTGAACTCACAATGTAGCTGAGGCTGCCCCAAGCTACCAGACAGGAAAGATCTCACACTCTGCATTAGGATGTGCTTCTGCAATACACTTTGCCTGCTGCACAGCCTTCTAGCCAAGGCCAAGTCCACGTTGCCCTGCACCCACTCTGCTCGGAGTGGGTACCTACACTGAGGTTGAGTTAACACTGTCTGCTTGGCTGGTGCATTTCCCTGCAGGGTAACTACGACCAGTATGTGAAGACACGGCTGGAGCTGGAGGAGAACCAGATGAAGAGGTTTCACTGGGAGCAGGACCAGATCGCACATATGAAGGTAGGGAGATGAGGGGGCCAAACCCACGTCCTCCCCCTGAAAGAGGCGGGAGAGTTGGAGGAGCTTACAGGAATGTGCATAAGGAGCCGGAGAGATGGAGGAAAAAGCCGGAGTCCTCATTGGTCACCCCGGAATGAAGAGATGTTACCTGGTGTCTGCGCATGCTCCAGGCCCTTCCCTGGTCTCTTGCAGAATTACATTGCTAGGTTTGGTCATGGCAGTGCCAAGCTGGCCCGGCAGGCCCAGAGCAAGGAGAAGACGCTACAGAAGATGATGGCCTCGGGGCTGACGGAGAGGGTCGTGAGTGACAAGGTAGGACTGACGAGATCGGTTAGGTGGCTGGGGGTACAGGGGTTAAAAATGGCACCCGGCTGATAGATAAATGGCCTCCCTCCCTTCCCAGACGCTGTCATTTTATTTCCCACCATGTGGCAAGATCCCCCCACCTGTCATTATGGTGCAGAATGTGAGCTTTAAGTACACAAAGGACGGGGTGAGTTCGGGCCAGGGCTGCGAATGAGCGCCCGCATGTGCCTGTGAGGCAGGGTGTGTTTGGGGGCTGTGGGCAGGATTTCTGGAAGCCAGCAGTGCGGCCTATCTGGGACTTGCGCTGGCCTTTGAAGGAGTTGCACAGGAGGAAAATGCTCAGCTGGGTGGGAGGTGGGTTCAGGCTCGGGCACAGCTCTGAGTCCTTCCTTCCCTCCCATCTGCCCCTTTGGCACCCTAGACTCCACGTGGTTGGATGGCAGGCAGGGTAGAGCCATGGCCAACGTGTGTCTGTGTTTCTCTTGAACCCCCTCAGCCTTGCATCTACAATAATCTAGAATTCGGTATTGACCTCGACACAAGAGTGGCTCTTGTGGGGCCCAACGGAGCAGGGAAGTCGACTCTTCTGAAGCTGCTAACTGGAGAGGTAGGGTGCTGCAGTGGACAGGGCTGGTGTCATGGCACCTGTGTTGCCTCAGGAAGAGAGAAAGTGGCAGCCTTGCAGGAGTGGAGGCAGGAAAGTCTGGGTAACAGCGTGCATGTGAATACACGAGTCTGTCTCATGTCTGCTGTTTCCAGTGTTCAGGGCATGGAAACATCTGTAAGAGCAGAGGTGCATTTCTGTTCAGCAAACCTCTGATTATGTTTACATCCAGGTGCCTTGTAACTCAGTGTAGTACATTCTAGCAGACAGGTCATAACTCCTTAATAAATTACATGTTTTGTCTGCCTTGACAAAGCCAGTTTCAGTATACGATTCTAAATTTTGGGGGGGGTGAGAAGATGTACTAGGAATTAACCCAGAGGTACTATACCACTGAGCTATATCCCCAGCATTTTAAGAGAAAGCTGTTGCTATGCTGACCTCAAACTTGTGATCCTCTTGCCTCAGCCTCCAAGTAGCTGGAGTTAAAGGTCTGTGCCACTAAACCTACCTTCCTAGATATTTTTAGAGTGACCAGAATAACAGCCTAACTTGGCGAAGTTGTGTGAGCCTTGTTCGGGGTGCAGTGGGTTTTTTCTTTTTCGCACGCTGACTCACCTGCTGTTTTATTCTCCCTAGCTGCTACCTACAGATGGGATGATCCGAAAGCATTCTCATGTCAAGATAGGCCGCTACCATCAGGTACAGACCTGAGGTCAAGGGCAGGCTTGGGCCCAGGGGTTGTCCAGTGTCAGCAGGGGCTGCGTCCCCGCCCCCCGGCACAGCCTTACCGGCTCCTACTCCCTTCTCTGAATTCTGCACAAGTGCCTGGGTAGAGGTGGAGAGTTGTCTGGCCTCCTCCCTGTGGGCTCTGAAGCCAGCTGTTGGTCACCTGTGTGGGTCCTTTCTCCTGCAGCATCTCCAGGAGCAGTTAGATTTGGACCTCTCGCCTTTGGAGTACATGATGAAGTGCTACCCTGAGATCAAAGAGAAGGAGGAGATGAGGAAGATCATCGGGCGGTATGGCCTCACCGGGAAACAGCAGGTGAGTGAAGGAGGTAGGAAGGGCCTGGGCTGGGACACCGGCCTGGAAACCCGCAGGAGCTGTCCCACCCTGAGGACAGGGAGAGGGAGCTGGCCTTTGCATACCCTGTGCCAGAGCGCTTGATGGCAGGGGAACTTACAGCCTAGGAAACAAACTCCTGGCTCAACCCTGGAACCAGGGAGCCATGGATGGCCCCAGTGCGTCAGGGTCTCAGTGCTGGGGGAAAGGTGTGGATTTGGCAGTGCGTCTCAGTCAGGCCCCCAGAGATGGTTACAGAGGAGCTGGGGGAAGTGGAGAGGGTGACACAGGTGGCCTGTGCCCCACCCGGCTCCTCCTAGGTGAGCCCCATCCGGAACCTGTCAGATGGGCAGAAGTGTCGAGTGTGTCTGGCCTGGTTGGCCTGGCAGAACCCGCACATGCTGTTCCTGGACGAGCCCACCAACCACCTGGACATCGAGACCATCGACGCGCTGGCGGACGCCATCAATGAGTTTGAGGGCGGCATGATGCTGGTCAGCCATGACTTCAGACTTATCCAGCAGGTGAGGCCTTACACATGGCCAGGGAGGGCAGCGAGTAGAGCCAGGGTGAGATAGATGAACTGGGACAAGGGCTGTGCACGGATGGCCAGTGAGGACCAGCTCTTATGGCTCTGTGGGGATGTCCATCACCTCGGTGTTGGCCCAGATGGAGAAGAACTGGTCTTTTATTATTGTCCCAAGATCTTTCAGTCCAAAACTGGTATTCCTCTGTGAAGGAGTGGGTTAGGAGGAAGGCTGTTTCTGAAGCCTTGGAGGAGACAAGGCAGGGTGGGAAAGGCAGCTGACCATGAAGGCTGTGAGCAGTCCAAACCCTGGTCTGAGAATAGGGCGGCAGCTGGCTCAGAAGGCTCCTGAGCCTGCAGGTTATAGTGCCCTGGGGTTAGATGGCCCAAAAAATGGACATGAGGCAGTGAAACTGAATGGACGTAGGTTTGGGCAGAAGCCCAAAGGGGCGTGGCTGTTTCTTGCGGGACACACTCAGATACTGGCTGCTCAACCCGGAATCTATTTGCAGGTGGCTCAGGAAATCTGGGTGTGTGAGAAGCAGGCAATCACCAAGTGGCCTGGGGACATCCTGGCTTACAAGGAACACCTCAAGTCCAAGCTGGTAGACGAGGAACCGCAGCTCACAAAGAGGACCCACAATGTGTGAGCCCCTGGCCAGGCTCGGGTCAGGAGCACCACCTGCGGACTGCCAGCTACCACCTGACCAGCTGCTCAGGACAGGAGCCCGGGGCTGCATCCCGCATCGCTGCACTACTGCCCCAGCCCCTCCCCGCCTCAGCCTGCCTCGCTGCACTGCCCACCGCCGGGCAGTACCTGTCTGCCTCCTCTGCCTCCTGGTTACGTCTGTCCACCGGGCTAGGCTGACCGCCCCCTCCAGCCCTCACTGGCCTCCTTCCCCCAGAGAGGCACAGCGAGAGCTCCTGCAGGCTGGCCCAAGGGCCCGGAGCCTGGATGTGGCCAGGGAGGGAGTGGGAGAGCCTTGTGTTGTGGGTTTGGTGATGTTGGAGGAACCCCCCAGCCCACCGCCCCCATTCCTTTCTGCTTCTGGTTTGGAGCTGTAGACCAGGCCTTGGGCCTGGTCTGTTTTTAAATAATTATTTAACAGTGTAACTCTCATACCTTTGTGACATCTATAAAGCGTCCAATAAAGACAGAGGAATCCATGTTCCCTCCCTCCCTCCCTCCTTTCCCAGTTTCTGGGGTCTTTCTCTCCTCCCTGTGGGACCACCTCTCCTCCCCCTCAGCTGAGGGGGGCCTGGCGGTGCTGGAAACAAGAGAGGAGCTGTGTCTTCCGCCTGCAGCTCCCTGACCAGCCTCTGTCACCTGCGGGGCCCGTCTGAGCCCAGGATGCAGGCCTTGCAGTATGGTGGGTTTTGGAGAAGTGGGGAGTGAACATTTCCAGTAGGTTCCCTGGGGTACAGGTGTTCCAAC